GGCGCGGTGAGCTGCACTATAGACTTACCCCAAGAGGCCTGAGGATAGTAGTGCAGGCTAGGAGAGTTAGCCGGTGGTGCAGGCCCAGGGAAGCAGAGAGAGGTTAGGGCGGGGCCAGGACCAGAAGAGGTGCTCCTGGAGCCCAGAAAAGGGACTGAGTTGGTCTGGGTGAGAAGGATGAGGAAGCAGTATTGGTTCCCCAGGTGTCTGGGGCCCCAAGACTAGGAATGGTGCAGGGCCCAAACTAGGAGTATAGAACGGCGGGAGGGATGGAAGGGTCAATGTGGCTTAGGGAGTCCCGGCGCTGAGAGCTGTGCTATAGACTTACCCCAAGAGGCCTGAGGATAGTAGTCCATTTTTATTCTTTTTAAGGATGAAACTGAAGCTTATAATTGCCAAGTGGTCTACATGAACCTCCATAATTATTATTATTTTGAGGGGATGTTAAGACAGGTGTCCTTGTAGCCCCAGCTGGCCTGGAACTCGCTAGAGTTAATAGTCTTAATAGTCTTATCAAACTTATTTAAAAGTTTAGGCTTCTTTTATGTAGACCAGGCTGGCTTTGATCTCTCAGTGATCGGCCTGCCTCTGCTTCCAAAATGCTGGCATTAAAGGTGTGTACCACCGTGACATCCGGCTCAGAACCCACATAATTAGAATGTGATGGAGGCAGGTTCTTTCACGCCAGAGGTGCTATGGACATTCTAGTACTCTTTGACCTTTGGGTGCAATTCTTTTTTGTGTGATTCGCTTCACAAAGAAACGTGCTGAGGTAACTGGGAAAGCCCACTCTCTTCAAAGATTATTTCTTTTACATTTATTGTTCTTGTCATTGTCATCATTATTATGATTTTAATTCCCAGGTTTATTATTAATGAAACCACTGCACATTTCTGTGTAAAACAAAAAAATATCAACCTACCCTTTTACGGAGTTTCTCTGCAGCATCAAGGTCAGCCTTAATAGTCTTATCAAACTTGTTTAAAAGTTTAGGCTTCTTTTTCTTAGCTGAAAGAAAAAAAAAAGAGGGTTTCAATTTAATGTACTTTTTGTCAAGAACATTATCAAGAATAGCAATTAATGAATAATGAAAAGAGGGTGTTGGTCCCCAACACGTCACTCACTGCAGGAGAAGCACATTCCAATTCACTTCCCACCACTGAGGACGGGGTCAGTGCCTGCCTCGGAAGACGCAGCACCCCTCCTTTAAAGCTTGTTTCATTGATTCACTTCCTGACATTTTGCATATACTCCAGTTGTACAAACTGAAGGTGTTTTGGGCCAAGCAGTGGATGCATGATGCTTGCTCTGTGTCTCCTCTCTGCGTCACACTTTGGTAATTCTCCAGGTTATTTAATATTTTCATCTTATTGTTAGAGCTACTCTGATGGTTTGTAGCTAGCGAAGGCTTAGCCTGCTTTATAAAATGGGAGGATAGCAGGTGGGACAAGAATTCAATCAACACTGTGCATGGAGCGATTTGCACAAGGCCTGACATGTAGTATGTGCTCAGCTGGTGACTGTTAATACTGTCTGTGCTGGTCCCTTAAACCCATTTGCTCCTTTCCCTTATTCTACATAACCAGTTCTTCCCACTTTATCTGACACAGGTAACCCTTTTCCCCTTCCTGAAATGATCCCTTTCCATTGTGTTGCTGGGGTCTCCTAGTTCTCCCTGTTCTCTGGCCTCTCCGTGGGCTCTGGGGCTCCTCCCTGCTGCTGGTCCCTGGGAAGCAATGTCCCTTGGGGTCAGTCTTCAGCAGCCCATGGGGTTTTAATGACTTAATTTTCCAATTGAGTTACAAGTGAACTATACCTCATTTCTCTTGCATTGCATAACTGTAAATCTAAGTGCCCACCAACACAGATGGCTCAAACTCAGCAGACCAGAAACAGTTCATTATTCCTCACACACCTGTGCTTTGTTCTTGCTGCCCAACTTATGGACGCCCACCCTCTTCACCAGCTGCCCCAATCAGCAACTTGGTTAGAAAGGGGAGGCAAAATAAATGCAAAGAAGGGGCTTGTAGAGCGCAGCACAGGGAGACTGAAGAGAATAGCAGCTGGCTTAGCACTCGCTCTCCAGCCACCTCACCAGGCTTTAAAACAGTGCCCTGTAGTCTCTCTACTCCTGCACATATGGAACAACTTCACAGATGAGATGTCTGGGTGGCAAAAGAAAGTTAGTTAGCTTGACATCCCCCTTCTCTCACCCACACAGAAGGAATGGGATGCCTATTTATTGGTTTCCAAAAGGAGAAAAGTTGACAGAAGGGATTGTGTGTCTGAGTCCTATTCTTCTATCACTCCCTACAGCATCTGTACGGAGCTGGTTGGCCACCTCAAAAGAGCAGGCAGAGTAGCTCAGAAATGTCACTCATTTAAGATAGCTGAGCTCAAGTGACTTCCTCAGAAAAGGGTGTGCATACTGAGCTGAGTTGATGCCCTGAAAAAGAACTGGGGCTGGTCTGTGCTACCTAGAGTAGGCTGGTAGGTACAGTTGTGGGGCTCAGAATTAAGCAATCTGTTACTCTTTATTTTCCGAGCCCTATTCATCTCTCCTCAAAAATAAAACTGAAACTTAAAGTACTTTTAATTTCCTTACACTTGAATTGACTGCTATGATCTTCCGTTTTGTTTATGCTCCATCTCCTCTCCATCTACTTACTCCTAGTCATTCTATTGTTGAAAACTGTTTAAAACAAAGACTGAAAAATTCCAAACAATGAACTTTCTCAACTTCACTTCATATTTTAGCATACACGTGGATATGCAAAATGAATCCAGTTTGGGGTGTGGACTTGTGGTAGCGGGAGTTCTCGTGTCTCTCATTTCAGAGCTGACTTAAGTCTCCCAACTGCTCATTTTGCTTTTGCCTAAGTATGTGATAACAGAATGACAGTGGGCCTTCAGGGAAGCCTAGTGTGCACCTGATGAAGGGTTTTATGGCTGGCATTGAAGGTTTTCCTCAGTATGACCTCTGTGCCATCAAGCATCAAGTTCAAGTCAATTATGAGATATACTTGTGAGAAAAAGACTATTGGCCGTTTCAGGTACCTAAAACAGTCTATGATAAAATAAAGTGCCTATTCAAGAGCCACATGTAAGTATCTTAGTGTTAGAGTTAGCATCACAAAAAGAGAAATTACTAAACCTCATAGCACCCACTACCAAGAAATTAGCCTGTTTTATTTTGCATACTGATATGCAAGTTTTATCTTATGATTATTTTGTGTTTAAGTTTTAAAGTATGGGGTAGTTTTCTCAACTGTAAAACATAAAGGCACATCTTTCTTATTCTGAGAATGCAAATGACAAGCTGTATGAACTTAGAATCCTCGTTCTATTTAGGACAGAACCTGGATAAACTCAAGCTCTCTGGGATGTTTTCTCATCTATAAACAAGAACTTGGGCTGGTTCTCTTAAGGTCTCCTTCATCTTAGGAATACCATGCTTCTAATTTTCCTAGATTTAAATCATGTTAATAGACTTTTAACTTTTTTTCCTCCTGGTGATAGAGACAAAAGCCAGGGACTGACACAGGCTGGTACATGCTCTACCACCTCCACCACTGAGCTATATCCCTGCCCCCTTTTTTGCTTTTATGCATTTGCTTGATCTGCTCCACTTAAGAGAGTGAGTAAAGCAATTTGCCCATGAAACAAAATGAAAAGCAACAGTCCCTAGTCAGTTCCTCTGCCTTCTGTGCCCCCATGTGCCACATTTTTCTGGGGACCCTTCTGAAATACAACCTGTCCATGCCATTGAATTACTTAAAATACTCTCATAGATCCCCAGACCATATGAAACAAAGCCCAATTCCTTCAAACATCAACCAGTGCCAATCCTGCCCTGTTACCTACCTAAGAGAAATAACAACATGTGTTAGGAGACAGATGTGTTAGGAGACAGACAAAGGCTCCTAGTGAACACTGACTGCTGTACCATGCATTAGTCACAAAGGAGGGAAAATTCACCAATCTGAGGTCTATCCAAACCAGCACTCCAAGCAATCTACTCATGACCTCGCCAAACATCGGCTGATTCTGTGTCTAACTCTTTACACAGTAGACAGAGCCACAGAAAGTTACACTTGGACCAACTTTATTCACTAGTTCATTCATTCATTCATTCATTCATTCATTCATTCATTCAAATATATGTCAAAATGTCTTCACCTTCTAAATATTGTGATTGGGCTATGAATTTAACAAGACTTTTCTCAAGGAGGTTAGTCTTATGTAAAGTTAGCTTCCCATTACTATAAAGAGTAAACCAGAGATGTTAAACCTATAAAGAGGAAAAGTTAATTTTGGTTCACAGTTTCAGAAGCCACAGTCCATGTTTGGTTTGTTCAATTGATTTTGGACCTATGGTGAAGCAGTGCATGATGTCAGGAACACATAGAAAAGGAAGCTGATCACTTTGGGCAGTAGGAGGATAAAAGGATGAAGGGGGCTGGATCCCAATATATGAAGCTTTCAAGGGCATACCACCGGACTCCCTCCCACTAGGCCCTGCCTCTTAAAGATTCTGCCATTTCCCAAGAGTATCATGAGTACGAGACAAGGACTTCAACACATGGTCTTTGAGGAGCACGTATCCAAACCATTGCACGTGTCACTGGGGAGAAAGGAGCTAAGTAGAAACCTGAATTTAAGTAATGAAAGTGTAGGTTTAGTATACAAAATGCTTAGAAGAAGTCTTTCAGATTTCAAAAATAGTGGATTTTGGAATCTTTGCCTATGTAGAATAAGCCATCTTAGTGATTAGACTCATCTAAATATGAAATTCATCTGTGTCATATATACCACAAATATACATATATTAATACATGCACATGTATATGTTTTATACACACACACACACACACACACACACACACACACGCACACACCTGAAGGAAATTTTTTACAATACTTTCAGGGCACCTGTGTTTTGAATGATACTCATTACACAAGATCAGGTATGGAACTTTCTGCTTGTGGAACTTTAAGTGTCCAAAAAAGTTTTGAGATTTGGAGCATTTCTGACTTTCAGATTAGGGATGCTCAGCTTGCAACTGTAAATGCAGGTTAGGAGTTGTACGAATCTATTTGGGAGGAAGCAGCGGAACTTCCCTGGGGGAACTAAAAACATAAGCATACACAGATGGGGGGGCAGTCTAGGCAAAAGAAAAGGTATTTTGTAACAGTCATGATCGGTGTGCGAAAAGGAGCTGAGCAGCACACATGTGCGTAGCCACTGCTTTCCGCTTCCTTACTGTGGGTGAGATGCCTCAAGCTCCTGATGGTATGACTTCCCCCACAATGATGGATGGGAACCTTGACACCCTTTCCCCTTTAAGTTGCTTTCACCAGAGCATTTTATCAAACAACAGAATAGGAAACAAAGACAATCAGGAGCTTGTAGCTTTATCATTAGTTATATTCATTTTAAATGAAAAGCTAAACATTTTTCCTATTTGAATGCTAAGGTCCCATGCCACAAAAATATAAATTTTCTTATTAAGGGGATATGTACATTCTAGAATTTTGACAGGCTGCAGGTATAAGCTGCTTAGGAACCACAGGCACTGATTTGATTCCTGCTTATGTTAGAGATGGAATATTGATACTGAGTGTGCTGCAAGAGCCAGGGGTCCAGAGCACATGCTCAACGAGCATAAGGTTTGCAGAGGAACACACACCCATCATAAAAGAGCAGTGTAGTGACAAGCACTTGTTTTCCAAACCCGCAAGATGAAGCTGGCCAGCTGTGGCTCCAGACAAAGGACTCTAGATGCTGATGGAAGCCATGCAGAGGGACGGAACATCTGTTCTTGCCGCAGGCTGCCATTCTGATACATTTTTAAAATCCTAATTAAACATAAGACTTTAACTGTGTGTGAATTTCTCCTACCAACTCACCTGAAATGCTATACTTATTCAAGGGAAACAGTATTCATCTTGAGTTCCTTCACAGCTGTGTTCCTTGAATCAACTTTCCTGCTTTTCCCAAGTTGGTA